AAGCTTCTCCTTTAGGACAACTTGCTTTTGATCAAGCTTCTTCTTCAGGACACTTTGCTTTTGCTCTTGTTCAATCTTCTCTTTTTGGAGAACTTGTTCAGCTTCAACGTCTACTTCATGCTCAATCTCCTTTGATGTGTGATCCTCAATTTGTAAAATCTCGTGATCTTCGTTGGCTTTAAGAATTTCTTTAAGAAATGCTTTATGCTTCTTGTCTTCTTCCATAACTGGTGAGGAATGTATTCTCTGAAGAAGAATTCTTTTTTTTTTAATTCTTAATTGTGATCCTACATCAAAGTCTAATTGAGAACATCAAGCAATGTAAAGTCAGGTCATAAATCAATTTGAGCTCGTATTTTTACATTCAGCCCATTAAAGAATCTTAAAGCTACTCTATATGGATGTTAATTATAGTCAAGGTGGAGTAACAACCGTCGATATTTAGCAATATATTTTTCAGACAGATCTCTAATCCTGATGGCATCTTTGGTACTGCTGGAACAAGATCTTCTCATAATTAAGGGAAGAAAATCCCTTTGTAACAATTGTTTCATCTTGTATCAGGTTCTAACTGGTGCTTTCCTCTTGTGAAATCTTATGGATTGTAATCTTTCCCACCATGCAAAAGCTCCACCCTTCAATCTACATGCAACAAGTCTCACCCTTCTTCTTTCTAGAATCTCCATATATTTGAAAAACCTATCTATTTTCGCAATCCAATCTAGAAAGTCTTCAATGGTTAAATTACCATTAAAACCTGTCTATTTTCGCAATCCAATCCAGAAAGTCTTCAATAGTTAAATTACCATTAAAACAAGGAATATCTACCTTCAATTTGAATTCGCTAGTATCTCTATCCCCATAATCACTTCGTCCATATCCAACGTGCCTCCCAAAATCTACAAAGTAATCATCTTTTTCGTCCAAATCTTCCACGTAGACTTGCTGTCTACACCTATTTGCAAAAACTGGTCTGTTGACAGGCTATCTGTGAGCCACATCATCTCCAGGACGTTGCCTCTCTTCATTCTTGTTTCTATTGGCATCTTTGCTCAAAGCATCAAGTTGATCTGCAATTTCTTCAAAGCATTGTTCTAAACACTGGAATCTAAGATCCATTTGTTGCTCCAAAGCTGCCAACGCCACCCCTTGCGAGGTCTCAACTCCTTGATCTTCGCCATGAGAACCGTCGTCGCCTACAACATCATCACCAGCCATTAGATCAGACGAATTTTGCCTGCTTTGGTTCCAACTAACACAGCAAGTTAGTGTAACAACTAGGCTAGCACTCGACTATAGCTTGAGAACTGATAAATAAGCCTCAATCACAGAAACTTAAGCCTTCAATCTGAAAGAAAATCTGAATAATTCATTGAATATTCTATCTCTTCAAAAGAAACGAATAATATGTTTATATAAGGTGGTTAAGTCAACCCTAACAAGACTCTAATTAAACAAGAAAATAAAATCTTACTTAAACACGAAAACTAATTAAAACAAGAAATCCCTACTGTTGACTAATTATAAAATAAGAAAATAAAATTTAACTAAATTAAAATTGCCTAAATTGACTAAACTCCTAATTAAAATAGAAAACTACTTGAATTCTTAATAGAAACCCTAAATAAATAAGAAAATCAAATAAAGAAAGGGAAACAAAATTAAATTCTAATTAAATCCTAATTTAACACTATTTTCCCTACATCATTAATAATTTTAGATAACTAATATTAGGCCATTATTCTAGAGCTTATTAGTTATAAAGAGGATTAATATAATCAATAATTCAACCTTTTTAAGTAACAATTGTTTGGTTTAATATATTTTTTTTCCATCTTTCTTTATTTTGACCATATAAAATATACTCTTATATGAATATAATTAATTAATTTCCACTCTACTAATTAATTGAAGTCGTGCATTTAGATCTTTCAAGTCTCCTCAGTCAGTCTTTGGTCTTGGCTTGAGTGGGGTACGTTCATGAATGTTTCGAGAGATTGTTTGATAGTCGTTTCGGATCTTTGATATTAAGAAAAATTAAAGAAAGAAACCTTCTCTTGGTTGTTTGACATTAATTTTGTTGTTCTCTAAAGACTTTTCTAATTAAGAATGACAATCAAATAAAAATATTCTCTGAGCTATGCTTTCTCGCTTTCTCTTACTCTTAAATAATTCGTCAATTTGACTAGTATGGTATTTATAAAAGTTTCTTTCAATGACTTATTTATTTGATGGAATTTCTTCTCCACGTTTAGGAATTTAATCTCTTCGATAGATCAACATAAATCTTCTACCAATGACTTAAAAGAAATTGGACAATTGAAAATAATTAAATAAAGTGAAGAACTCAAATTTCTTAGTCTTTCTTCGAGGATCCAAGTGGGGCCTAATTAGTGGTTAATTTTCCATTATTTTGACAAAGTTGGTACTGAGTAATATAGAGAAAATAAAAAAAAAAAAACTAAGACAAAATTAGCCTTTTATTTCATGATCAAAATATTTCATTTGAAGGGTCAAGACACCTCTTGAACATGGAATATTACTACAAGAAAACCTATCTACATCACGTCAAACTCAACGCTAGGGTTATAGCGTCAGTATTGGTGCAATTCGTCGACGCTATGGTGGCATAAGAATGTTGTTATTAGTCCAATACAGACATACTACGCACAAGTAATATGAAAAAGAATTGAATGTAATAAAAATATTCAATTCTTTGTGACAATGTACAATATAATAGAGTGTTAATTAACTAGTTTATATTCGCAATATGTGGAAACTCATGTCTTGGAATGTTCTTGATATTTACAATATTAATTTCCCATTTCTAAAAAAGTTTCAAAAATTAAGGCAGGAATGGATCGAGCGGTGAAGTTTGGTGCTGCCATAATGGCAAATGACGATATATAAAAAAATTGATATATAGATAGACGTCCAAAACTCTAGAATAGCACAAGGAAACATAATGTCCAATCACAATCACATAAGTATAACCCCACCAAGATTGAGACCTCCTCTAAATCACAAAGACTTGTCAGTCTTATAAAGTCATCTCTACACCTTGTCATTGTTGTATATATGAAAAGTAATCAATGGCTTTTCTTGTTTTGTTAGTTGAAGACGTTGCTTGTAGCTTAATGATTTTGCCGACTCTTAATTGCAGAAATATCAACATATCCTAATCCCATCAACAATTAATACATACATTCAAGTGACTAATTTTTGCTCATTCTAATTATTATGCTTGACCGACATACTGATATTCTTCTCATGTAAAGACAACATACAGCACAGGGACTGAGATTGGACATTGTATATTAACGATTCACAAGCTCTAAAACCCACAAAAAAATGACTCTTGCAGCATGGGATTAATTTTTTCTTAGTAAATTGATCAAGCAACTATGGAAGCCAGTGGTGCTGAGACTTGCAGATGGGATCACGGCAACAAGAACAATGATGAAGGGTCCACAGGCACCGTTGGATTTAATGAAAGGAGTCAAAAATTTGAACGACTGAGTAGACCAGGACAGGACTTGGTGACCAATGTTTGACTCTCTGACTTTACATTAAATGTTTCTTCTAGCGAAGACATGGAACTAACTAACTACTCCATCGATCCAGCACCTGCTGTTAATTCCTGAATTCGTAGATATAATATAACTCTTCTGGGTTCTCTCTCTTGTCTTTCACGTATATATAATAAAGAAAGCAGCAGGGATCCCGTGAATGATCCTTCACAACCTCTGCAAAAAGTTGACTGTCTTCACCCTCTTTATGTCTTTACCAATCATCGCTATATTTTTGTCCTTTTGATTTCTCTCTTCTCATCTGCATGTGAATTTTCTTTTTATATATCTATTTTATTTTTTTTTCGATTTTCTACATGTGATTTTGTACCAAGTTACAATGTGGGTAGGTCTAATTATTGGTTTTGAACATAAAACCAAAGGAAACAAAGTAGTAAGTGATAATAACCCTAATGCTGCATGGTCCAATGGAAGGTACAAAATGGTGCTAAAGATGGAGGACTGACAGAGAGGGAAAAGGACCATGAAGGAGATAGCGGTGCAATTGAATGGGGATTATTAAAGGCAGCGGTGTGTTTGTTTTGTTTGATGAGACATCATTCTGTAAGCCATTACTGACAATAGATTCATCAACGAGCCAAGTCAAACACCAAACTTTTATTTAATAAAATAAAAATATGAAGAAACTGACAGATCTAGCAATGCTGGCACTTATATCATTGGTGGGTGCCTGGCCTTTTTGTTATCACATCTCTCTCTCTCTCTCTCTCTCTCTCTCTCTCTCTCTTCCTCTGGTCTGGGCATTATAATATCTTTCTCCCTCTATCTCTTCTTCTCTTTTCTAATTTTTTTGGTTAGATTCTAGGCCCACTTCATTTATGGGCCAAGATCATATTATATATTGGGCCTATGCTTATGAGTCTTGATTAATTAACTAGTAATACTATATATACAACATTTTTATATAATATTGTGTGACAAAATATGATTGATTGATTTTAATTTACAATTAAACTTTCACTCAATCTTCTTTTACCACATAATATTGTATGTATTGTACTATTCTTAATTAAATCCTCATTTCAAGTTCTATTTCGAAACGCTCTATATATGTGCTTAGGAAATGACTGCTTTCCAGGAAAGGGGGCATTGGATGATTGGAAAACATATCCCCCACTCTATCTCATTAAAAATTTGTTAATGGGCGTATTATAAAAGCCCAAAAGACAATTTCAACCACACAAGTTGGGCTTAAATCCAATGAAACCCCTCAAAGCCCAACAATATCAAGTAATTTAGGGGCCTGCATTGTTTTTGCTCCTCATGGAAAAAGTTTTGGACAGCAGAAGAGGATTCAACTAAGAAATAAGCCATAGCTAACACACCGGTTCACAAAACAGATTACAGCACAAATAATTTACATTTGTTAAATAAACCCCCTTCCCCCCTCCTCCCAAACAAAAAAAACAAAAAAATCGTTTCGAACATATAAGAAATGCAACACTAGACGACTTTGCCCCATAATGGCGAGTGAAGATGTTAAGGAGTTGTATTGTTAAGAAGGAATGGTTCTCTTGTCTGAAAAGTTCCTTTCAACTGTTCTGCCAACAGAATGGCTACTTCTGCTACTGCTACTCCCAAGTTTTCTTTGTACCGTTCGCTGCATTATCCTAATAGGTATTCCACCTAAGTCGAAGTCTTCCTTTAAAGATTTCGTTAAGAACCTGAGTTCAGTGTCTGATAGCTGTGTCTTCCCACTTAGAAAGGCAATAAAAGTGGGAGGCCGAGCCTTCACTTGGGTGAAATATTTGATCTTTGGTTGGGCAGACTGATCTTTCCAGGAATGCCGGCTCATAACCTGACCAAAAAGGGCATACAGAGAGAAAGATGTTTATAATCAAGTAACACTTTTAATCCTGGGAGAAAGGGAATGGAAAGGCAATGGATACTGACCTTACACAACCAACGGTTAAGACGAGCCGTGGGCAGCCTTAGACACCATTTTTCATAAGTATCAATGACCTGACGCATGACAGGTATCCGGCCTCTTCCCTATAACGCTGAAGTGAATACAACAGGTATTCCAGTCACCTGCCAACCAAACCATGTCAATGCTAATCACTATCGTTCAATGTCAAAAAGAAGATGAAACTGACGTGATTGCTTTGCTGTACAAGATATCATAGACAAAGCACCACACTACAAATCACATATTCTGGTTCTGAGGTTTTTTTGTCTCCAAATCGAACCCAAAAACCTTGATATAACTCTGCCGAAAAACTAATCTTCTTGGGTAACAGCCCCCCAGATAAATCTCTCGAGTGTCATTTTATTACTAACACATCATTAATCTAAAAGTTAAGAGATAATTTACTTCCAGCTGGCCTAGATAAAATCTCTCACTTCAAGCTCCAAAGTTTAAAAGAATCAAGTATGAAAAAAAAAAATTCCACACTCCATACAAGCGGAAGAAAAATTTGATTCTTTGACAACGATATCCAACATCAAACAAGAAAAATGTAGATCAAATTCTAGTCAGTAACAAGTATAAATTTTTAAAAGGTAATTACTCAAGGGTTGATCCTACGAAAATAAGCTGTAGTAAATAAAAATTACAGAAATTGACAAACCTGGGGTATAACTGTCTGAATTTCTAGAGGGACAGCTTCCTTGACCCTCTTATACAAGGCAGAATTCTTTCTCCCACTTAGAAGATCCATTTTGTTGACAATTACAACCAAACCACGCCCTTCTTCCACAGCACGTCTGGCTATAACTACTTCTGCATGTGTCATACTACGTCTTGCCTTTGCAATCTGATTATCATACACATGATGAAACTTATAAGCATATGTATCATACATACAGAAATTTTTTTGAAACAGATTATGTTAACCAAACAGATATTTTCCATCTGTCTTTTACGCAATTCCTGTTATCTAACTTCTGATGCCCTAGTGGTTTTACGATCAAACAGGCAATCCACCACAATCAAGGGCCCACATAATTTTAACAAAACTGGAGATTTCAAAAGCCTCCCCACTAATAACATTATTCACATTGTAATTAAGTCACACAAAACCATCACAAGCCGTCAAAATACTCTTCATTATACAAGATAAGATAGACTTCAAGAAGATGAAATTAATTTTTAGCATCTTGGATCAAATACTACAATCATTGGCCCAAGGCATAGTCATAGCCAAAAAAGAAGATAATATATGGCACACCTCTTCTGCATCAAGGACCAATGCAATTACATGAGCTCTCATCAGATTTTTTCTTGATTGCATAATGCTCAATGATGCTGGTCCTTTCTCCCTATCTGTCCTTTCCAACCAACCTGCAGTATCAACCTGAAAAGTAATCAACAATAACATCGACCAATGAAATATTAAACCAACAAGAAACTAAGCGAAAAAACTGAAATATTGCCATGAAAGCTTAAGAAGGTAGGTAAGGCTGACAACAGTATTTAAGCTCTATCATTACCACACTATGCTGACAATACAAGATACTTACTTCATCGGTATTATTCAGTCAACCTTCCATTTCAATATAATCACAATCAACATTTCAAAACAAGGAAAACTAAACGAGACCCCCAGAAAAGGAATGAACCATGGGATTCTGATATATATACCAAATATACTGTTCTCCCTTGATACTCAAAGTGCACTCTCACTGAATCTCTGGTCAAACCAGCTTCTGGACCCACCAGCACACGGTCTTCTTGTAACAAAGCATTCAGCAAGGTAGACTTCCCAACATTAGGCCTTCCTACAATTGCTAACTGCAATGGCAACTTAGACTCATCAACCTCACCAGAGCTGCTGTCTTGACTAGAGCTACCATGTTGACAACAATTATCTAGATAAGTCAAAACGCAAAGCGGAGTTAAGGGGAGGAAAAGAGATAATAAAAAAAGTTAAAACAATCATACTAGTATACACTCACTTTACCGTGTCTGTATCATCTCTCTCACAAATTTTATTCAGACACCAATTGACAATAGTATTATTATTTATTCCAAAAAAATGTTACGTGAAACATAATAGACTACAGACCTTACACAGAGAAATTAAACAGATAATCAAAAAAAAAAAAAAAATCTATGATCTTACCATTTAAAACTCGGACCATAAAATCCTCAAGCTCTGGGCGAAGAGCTTCATAAAGTTCTGTCATCCCCAGTCCAGTCTCTGCAGATATAGCAATAGGGTCCCTAAATCCTAACATGAGGGCTTCAGCAGCAGCACCAGCAAGAGAGCCAGTGCCATCATGAAGAGATTCAGATTTATTCATTGCCACCAAAGGCTTGATTCCTGGTGCATGTCTACGCAACCACTTTCCAACCTCCAAATCCAAGGGATGAAGTCCAGTTCTAGACATAAAATAACACCAAGAAAGGAATTCATACTTTTGCACCCAATAAAACACACGGTTATATTTTCAGGGAAAAAGGCAGCTCCGAATTGTAACCAACTCTCGTCCATTCCTAAGAAATATGACTATCATATATTGCGGCATAGATAAACCCTTGGGGTATTCTAATAATAGTAAACTAAAAACTTATCATTTTCATCCAATAAATCACGACATTTTGTTTACTGATATTCATCATCAAGATTTCAAAGTCCTGAATTTGTTACTGTGAGCATTGGAAAAAATAAACTCAAACAATAATACTTCATAAAGTACACACAAGCTCATACATAGAACTAACCTCACATCAATTAAAAAAATTGCAAATTGAGTCTTTGCAAGAACTTTTGCAGTCATCCCTGCGGTTCTATCAAGAATAGACCCAGAAGTTGCTTCAGTTTCCAAGCCAGCTGAATCCAAGACCCTAAATCTCAAATCACCAAGTTTAGCAATCCCCTCTCTTATGTCCCTAGTAACATGATCATCTGGTGTGTTGTAAACCAGGGCCTCCCTCCTCCTAATCAGCCTACCACTCACCAAAAACAAACAACAAAATCACATTTGGAAACACATAATAAATCTTCCCACACATCTACTGCCGTTTTAAAAATGTAAAAAAGCCTTAAAATATGAAACTAGAAATAGGTTTTGTGTTATCAATTTTCAAGAACACATTCAATAGCACATTTGATAGCTTACTTCAACAGTTACCGAAAATATTACTCATTGACAACAAAAAGGCTCTAATGGCTTTACAAACATGAACAAGAACATGATATTAAAACTAACCGGTTGAACAAAGCTGACTTGCCCACATTAGGACGTCCAATAATCATCACAGTAGGAAGCAAATTAATATCAACCTTGGTAAAATCAATTGGTTTCTCATACAAAATCTTAACTTTCTTGTCTTTATCAATCTCAACATGGGAGTTCTCCAAATTCCTATTTGCAACAACCGCGCAAAAGCCCCTAGAAGCTCCAGCTCCAAGAACAAAATCACAATGCAAGCTCGAACCACGATTAGATAGTGAGCCTAAGAACAAACACATCATCAATAATCAACACACAACCATAAATAAGACATAAAATCTTACAAAAAGGAACCGAGAGAGAATAAAGCGCACCAATTAATGAAGGTTTGACATGGGACGAGTTCAGTTGGGTTCTGAGGAAGAAGCTAAAACGAGAATGGCTCTGGCTCTTTCGAGCCAAAAGGACCCTAAACCATGACCGAAACATGGGTTGTTAGCCTATTATAGTGATCAAAATAGTTTTTTGAGGTTGAGAAAATTTGGAAGCAACATCAAACTCAGCGAGGGAGAAGCTCCCTGCAACATAAAAGTTCTCACTTTTTTCGGCGGCGGAGAAGACAGTTCTGATTTGAAACTACGTCGCTTTGCTACCATCTCTTTTTATTTATATTTTTTTAATGTGAATTATTCTTTAAAATATTTAGTATTAAAAAAATACAATTTGACTTAAAATAATATAAAATAGACTGTCTTTATAATCATAATTTTTCTACCAACTAAATTTATTAATTTGATTTCTTTTTTTTATAATTCATATTTTAGTAATATTAGGATTTTAATTCATTATTTTAGTAGTATCAAGATAGTACGAAAATGGATATCAAATAGTCATTACAAATTTGAGTGATCAGATTCCACAACATCACTACACTAATTAAATAGATATTAATGTCTTCTTCAATCATCTAAGTGAGCAACAAATCGTGTATGTTTTAACTCAAAAAAAATTATTAAAATTAAATAAAAAGATAATCATGAGGATGATAATACAGAAATACCAAAAGTTTCATATCAAGAAACTTTAAACATACTTGATAAGTTAAAAATATTTTGGCTTCAACAAGAAGGTGTCCATACTAGCGGCTTATTACCTACCCATCAGATAAAAGATATGGTAACAATTCTAAAACATAAATCATTATCTCAAAAAACTTTATATAGATATATCTATTTCATCTTAAACCTTTAATATTTTTTACAATATACATATAATTATTACCATGTAAAGACAAGTTCCTTAAGACAAGACCTAGAAAAATTATAACTTATTACAATATGAAATTTATTCTTATTTATAACTAGTTAAGTTGGGACCAAAATTTTTTATGACTATATAGATATTATTCTTATATAGAATATCACTATAAAGAAGTTTTACTGTATTAGTTTAACATAATAGTATTATAAATATTTTTTAGTTCTTCGGTATATAATTATTCAATAAAGATAGATTGACAAACTCTAACTTTTTCTCAATTTGGTCAGGTGAAACCTATTGTGAGCTCACCAATCGGGAGCTGATATGTTGCGTTTGTGAGAGAAAGTTAATGAAAATAATTTGTCAACGTAGTATTACCCATAATTATTTTAGGTAAAACTCAATATTAGTTGCTTAGTAATTAAGATGGAATTTGACCCACTCATAGGTTAGTCCAAGGATCAGGGTGAACCAAAGGGGCTCCAAATGATGCAATCCACAGTCTCATATTCGATTATCTATTGAACACAAAAATAGTACATTTGCATGATTTACCCAAGGGTTGCTCCCCTAACCCAAAATAGATTAGTTCATTAATAAGAACCCCAATATAGAGAAGGAAAAAGGTGAATGTGGATCAAATTACCAAGAAATATAATTATTTATATCTTTTAGGTGATAGTGATTTCGACAAATAGAAAAGAAAATGCTCAGAACCATAAGTCATTTATGTTGTTATAAAGAGAGCATAAAAATTATAGCAAATCCTATATTTGGCTAGCCCTTATTCTATCAATGCTCTAAATCTAGTTTTTGTAAAAGGAGCCAAACTATATCTTCATTAGTTATTTTTCACTCAAATTGATTTCGAATATCTGATTATCTTAGAGAATGAATGCATGTATTGATAGTTAATAAAAATGTTTATTGACTAGTTATATATATTGCATATACATTTTTCCTTCAACTTTTGAATAAATGACTTGAATACTCTTACTATAAATTAGGTTGATCAATTCTCTACTTCTTCACTTAAAAAGCATAGAAAAACATAAAAGAACTGGTTAAAACTTATTGTCTAAACTCTATGCATCAAATCTAATGTGCTTGTAACCAATGAAGGAATTGAAAGGATAAAACACCCAATAAGGTAAACACTCTTATTTCTTGTTTCACTTTCACGCAGATTGCAAAGTTTGACGGGTATTTGAATTCAAACTTTTAGATAAAGACGTGACGAAAATTGAAGTATTAATAGTAAATAGTATAGGCTATGTTTATTTTCCTATTCATATCATATTCTATTCAAAATACATGTTTATTTTACTATTCTCAAAATCCAATCCTATTATATTCAACTTAAAATATGTAGATTTTTTTTAACCTCTAAGTTTGTTAATTTAACTAAACACCCCCAACCAACTAGTCGTGCATCATTTCGGCAACTTTTAGCCACCTTCCAATGATGGTCGTCGGCTTTCGACATTTAATGGGTGGGTGGAAATGTTTTTATTAATTTTAAAACTTTTATTATAGAGTGTGTTTAACTAAATTAACAAATGTAAGGAATTAAAAAATAATCTTACCAAACACATTTTCAAATTCAAATCTTATTCTCGTAATAATAACTCAACTCAACTTTTTCAAAAATACAACTCAAAATAATAAAACAAACACACCCTAATTTTTACAAATCCCATAATATTACATATAAAGCTTGTATATATGATAACTTTTATATAAGAGCTTGAAAATACATGTTTTGTTAGTGATTCAATTGGATTATTTGTAGAAAATGTGTTTAATTGTGAAATTGAGTTAATTATTTCATAAATACCTTATATGAGATCACGGGGTGTATTTTGAGTATGTTCAAGTTAAAAATGATATGTGAATGAAAAAAAAATGATATCGATGGAATTTGTGACAAGTAGGAACAAACGCTGCAAGAATCGGAATTGAAATGAGGAAGTTATGATGCGTTGAAGACTGAGACTTAAAACTTAGAAATTCTTCAAGATGAGCATATTTTGATCATAACTTGAGCTGTAGAATCGGAATTCGATGATTCTTGTGATGTTGGAAAGCTTATTCAGAGATCTATAAAGTTTGTGTTGATTATTTTGCCAAATTCTGAATTTTCCAGACTCGTGGGATAGAAAGAACGATCACCGCAACAACCATTTCTATCGCTGCAACAATGGATTGTGGGCTTGTTTGGGTTATTTTATTTTTCCTAGTTTGAATTTCAATTGTTTAAGGCATTTAATTCTTTCCTAATTAACCTCCAAACCCTAGCATCATAAATAAAGATTTTTAATTAGTTTTGAGAGAGATTAGATAAGGAGAAAGAGCAGCTACTATCTTAGAGATCAGAATTCTTGCAATTTTCATTCGCCAATTAGAAATTTTTTTCCATTTTTCTTTCTTGAACTCGTGTTTGTTAATACAATGGTTGTTTTTATTACTGAAAGTATGAACTAAATTTATTGTTTAGGGCTAAGATGTAGCCCAACGAATTATTTGTTAATTTTTATTAAGTTCTATTATTGCACTTAATTCTTTCAATTCTTAAGGGCCCGAGAGTTGAATGATTTCATAGGTTAGGTTGAGATCGAGAGATGAAACCTGATTAGTCTCAGGTAATAAACAATTAACAATTAACAAAAGACTAGACGTATTGTTGACACCAACTAACATATTGCGATAATACACAATTAAACATACGTCCCTTTTATAACATCTTATTTAGACCTTTTGAATTTCAATGCAATTAGATACGAATTGAATACGAATAAATGTTTGCAATGTCAATACATTACACTTATATAATTATTAATAACAATCCTAGATGATATGAACATTTGAAATACTAATGCAGTGCATTAATATCTCATTAAACCTAATCAAGAAAAGTTTGGATAATGTGCTACTAATGTAATCAAGATGATATAAATATTTGGAATATCAATGCAATGCATTAATATCTCATTAAACTTAATCAAGAAAAGTTTGGGTTTATATGAACATTTGAAATATCAATACAGTACATTAATATCTCATTAAACCAGATATCTAACGTGGGAAGAGGGAGCAATTCAAGAGCTTCAAAATAAAGCACTTTTAGAGGTAAAAAAAAAAGAAAAAAAGTGTCCTTGATTGTCACTCAAACATATATATATATATATATATATTAGCCGTAATATGCACAAAAATAGTCTCACAAGAAGTTTGGAACTATTGTTTTGATTGGCTAAAATTGTGTATAATTAATTAACAAAAGTAATTAAATTAAAATCTCAAATCAAAACCCACAAATCCAATTAATTAATTAATTATAACCCACAAACAGGACCACAAATAAACATGATTTACATAAACCCTTCTATGCACATTTATTTATAAATTCTTTCTCTTCCTCTCAATCTATCTCCTTTTAGTTTTACACAAACAAATCTCAACCCAAAATTGTCTCCTACTTTCTCTTTCCCATCTTTTCTCTTCTGGGTTCCTTTCAAAATTGTGTCTTTTTAACCCAATTTTGTCAATTCAAACCCCCAAACAAAAACCCTAATTCCCAAATTAAGCGTTTTTAGACCCTTTCTTTTAAAATTCTTTTCATTTGACTCTTCTTCTTCTTGTTCTCTTCAATACCTGCAAACCCATTTTTGTTATACAAGTGTTTATGGAGGGAATACCGCACCCAATACCCAGAACTGTAGAGGAAGTCTTCGGCGACTTCAAGGGCAGACGAGCTGGCTTGATCAAGGCTTTAACTACTGGTTTAATCTTTGTTTGTTTATTCAATTTATGGGTTTGTTTTTGTCTTTGTGAAATCGGTTCTTTTTTAATTTTAATTCCGTGGGTTGTTTCCTGCAGATGTTGAGAAGTTTTACCAGCAGTGCGATCCTGGTGGGTTTATTTTTGTTTTTAATTTAATCTTTTTTCCTGTTCTTGTAATTTAGGGTGTTATGTTGACTGAAAAAATAACTGTTATGATGTTTTGTTTGTGTAGAGTTGACTCTTTTGTTGTTTGGATTATATTAGGTTTGTGTAAATAATTAGCTAATTAATGTGTTATGAATTGTTAAGTTCAAGGTTGGTGGGTTTCTTTCAGTGTTTTTGAGGATTTTTCTTTTTTGCAGTTCATGGTTTTGTGTTGAATGCAAGAAATGAATTCTTGTTTTGAAGACAGTTCTTTTGAGGCTTTCTATGTTTTCTCAGAGTTCCTTTGTTTCTTACTTACATGGTCATTTTGTGATACATTTATTGGGAATCAAACAAACAGCATTGTGATTTCTCTTCTTGAGAAAACTACGCCATTTATATAAACACAAAGAGCTACTTCACTTTGTTGCACTCACAGAAGTTAGCCCACATAGCCATCTGGCACCTGGTTTGGAGAAAATTCCGAAGTTTTAGTACTCATGTTGGTTGGGTACTTGTGGGAAGTGGATAGTTATTTTCTGTAGATTACTAGGCATTTTTCTTACCCTGTAGCTTTTCCTATTTATTGGAGGCTTATTTGTTATCATGATAATATAATGTGGTTTCTTCATTTGTCCAAATGATATGGTTAATGTTTACTTCACTATTTTGTCAATATGTATCAGCTGGAATGCAAAGCTTTGCAATTTAGTGTGATTCGTTATTAAACAATGAGACATTGTTGTTACATCACACCTGTCGTTTCTTCATTTGTCCAAATGATATGGTTAATGTTTACTTCACTATTTTGTCAATGTGTATCAGCTGGAATGCAAAGCTTTGCAATTTAGTGTGAGTCATTATTAAACAATGAGACATTGTTGTTGCATCACACCATCATTGCAGGCAAACAGGGAAATTGGAACATGAGCAAAATTACCCCTATTTGTAAATAGGCTCAAATGGCTGCCTGATTGCAAAAAATTGCAAAGATATAATGGTAGTAATTTTGTATGTTGGATTCATGCAGTTTTGTTTGTGGACGTATGCTGTTATTTTCAGTTTGTATCCTTCGCATATAGTCTCTGGGTAGTTGTTCATGTAGTTGCAAGCTGATAATATATTATGATTTCTTCTATTCTTCTGGTGTTTAGGTAAATATGTCATGTTCAGTTTCTATTTCTGTCAACTTGTGTTAAGTGGAGTGCAGAGCTTCACAATTTGGTGTGGTTAATTATCACAATCAAATAGGGAAATAGGGGTTCATGAAAATTATATTCATAATTAAATGCCATTCATTATATCTTTGTTGTTTACCATTTATATCTTAAATGTTGCCAGAAAAATTGATGTTGGAAGTATTTTTCTTGTGTTACACAGTGCTTATGTACTCTTAATTATTTAAAATACAGATTTTCTTTTACTTTTAATAAGTTGGCATGGAAGAATGTGAAATGATAATTTAACAATTCAAGACAGAACTGAGAGTTGTTGTTGAAGATACTAATTTGTGCATACAGAAAAGGAGAATTTGTGCCTATACGGACTTCCTAATGAGACATGGGAAGTTAACCTGCCTGTTGAGGAAGTGCCTCCCGAGCTTCCTGAGCCAGCTTTAGGTATAAACTTTGCAAGGGATGGAATGCAGGAGAAAGACTGGTTATCATTGGTTGCAGTGCATAGCGATTCCTGGTTGCTTGCTGTTGCATTCTACTTTGGTGCACGCTTTGGATTTGGTAAGAATGAAAGGTATGGCTTCTTTTTCTTTCCAATTATAGATGGCTTCTTTTTTCTTTCCAATTATACTCATATGTTATTTTAGTACTTGTCATAAATGTTATTGTTCACAAGTTTGATGTATAATCTGCTGTAACTCATTGTCTATTGACATCATATTATTGGTTCTTTAATAATATGCAAAGCACATAAATGGCTAATTTTTTTTTTTTTTATTTTATTTATCATATTCCGTTTATTTTTTCTGATTCAATTCCTGTTAGTATTTTGTTTAGAGAATTTCTGTTTTTCTATTATTTGTTTCATTTTAGTCCTATACTTCTCCGTAATGAATATTCTATATTTTGTTATATAGTTCACAAGACCAATTTGTTTATTTATGAGTGTTTGAATGTTCATTTGTGTACTATCATGATCAAATAATTCACGATATCCTTCCTTGTTTTCCTTTTGTTATCATCAAGACCTTTGTTCATTTTATGTCTACATGGAAGCACATTCCTTTGTTGGGACCTGTCATCATTTTTTCTTGTGACAAGATAACTAAAAGTGTAATTAGATAATAAGTTATTTTTAAGGTTGAGATGTGTCTGAATCAGAGTAAGACTTGGTAAAAGTTTAAGGTGGTGAAGTCAGAAGTTCTTTATACATATACTACTGATGTAAGAATTGATACTGTGTCTTATGAAATGTGGAAAGTCCCTGGTTTTGATGATTGTATGTACTAATTGTTTCTTCAACAATTTAATAGAGGCCTGTCTGTCTGTCCTGCCCTCACTCTCAAAACTATCTACCCCCCTCCTCCTCCTCCTCTTCTTCTTCTGTTCCTCGATTTCTTCCTCTCCTAATAATTGGTTTATGATCTTAATTTACAGCATTGATTGAATGAATCAAATATCACTGTCTTGATATTTGTTTTATGTTTACTTAAGACTGTTGTGTGTCGTTATTAACAATTGACATGGTTTTGATTTACATTATTAGCCCAACCTCTTTCTTATTGTTTCATGCTCATCTCTTTCATATAACAGGTTACATCATCTGCTGAATGAGAAATAATGTTTGACAACATGCATTTGAGCTGTCCCCAGTAAAAGGAAGTTTACTGGTCACAGTCCTTAGCCTATTTCAATATCTGTTCTCTGATGTGTTTCTGTCGAACTTTTAATGACTTAAAATTTACCATTTGACTTAGATTTGTTAAACAGATGGCAATAATAGGACAAAGTGAATTTTATATTGTGGGAATATTGTTCAAGTTATGGATCATATAGGAAGCCTGTGGTGACCTGTGTTTAACCAGCAGGTTGAGAGCACAAAACCCTATTAAGAGTTTGGTTTTAACTTTGATTGGAACTGGATTTTACAGGAAGAAACTCTTCCAGATGATAAATGAACTCCCAACCATCTTTGAAGTTGTGACAGGAAATGTTAAGCAACCAAAAGACCAATCTGCTGCTACTCACAATAGTGGCAAAAGCNATATTATTGGTTCTTTAATAATATGCAAAGCACATAAATGGCTAATTTTTTTTTTTTTTTATTTTATTTATCATATTCCGTTTATTTTTTCTGATTCAATTCCTGTTAGTATTTTGTTTAGAGAATTTCTGTTTTTCTATTATTTGTTTCATTTTAGTCCTATACTTCTCCGTAATGAATATTCTATATTTTGTTATATAGTTCACAAGACCAATTTGTTTATTTGTGAGTGTTTGAATGTTCATTTGTGTACTATCATGATCAAATAATTCACGATATCCTTCCTTGTTTTCCTTTTGTTATCATCAAGACCTTTGTTCATTTTATGTCTACATGGAAGCACATTCCTGTGTTGGGACCTGTCATCATTTTTTCTTGTGACAAGATAACTAAAAGTGTAATTAGATAATAAGTTATTTTTAAGGTTGAGATGTGTCTGAATCAGAGTAAGACTTGGTAAAAGTTTAAGGTGGTGAAGTCAGAAGTTCTTTATACATATACTACTGATGTAAGAATTGATACTGTGTCTTATGAAATGTGGAAAGTCCCTGGTTTTGATGATTGTATGTACTAATTGTTTCTTCAACAATTTAATAGAGGCCTGTCTGTCTGTCCTGCCCTCACTCTCAAAACTATCTACCCCCCTCCTCCTCCTCCTCTTCTTCTTCTGTTCCTCGATTTCTTCCTCTCCTAATAATTGGTTTATGATCTTAATTTACAGCATTGATTGAATGAATCAAATATCACTGTCTTGATATTTGTTTTATGTTTACTTAAGACTGTTGTGTGTCGTTATTAACAATTGACATGGTTTTGATTTACATTATTAGCCCAACCTCTTTCTTATTGTTTCATGCTCATCTCTTTCATATAACAGGTTACATCATCTGCTGAATGAGAAATAATGTTTGACAACATGCATTTGAGCTGTCCCCAGTAAAAGGAAGTTTACTGGTCACAGTCCTTAGCTTATTTCAATATCTGTTCTCTGATGTGTTTCTGTCGAACTTTTAATGACTTAAAATTTACCATTTGACTTAGATTTGTTAAACAGATGGCAATAATAGGACAAAGTGAATGTTATATTGTGGGAATATTGTTCAAGTTATGGATCATATAGGAAGCCTGTGGTGACCTGTGTTTAACCAGCAGGTTGAGAGCACAAAACCCTATTAAGACTTTGGTTTTAACTTTGATTGGAACTGGATTTTACAGGAAGAAACTCTTCCAGATGATAAATGAACTCCCAACCATCTTTGAAGTTGTGACAGGAAATGTTAAGCAACCAAAAGACCAATCTGCTGCTACTCACAATAGTGGCAAAAGCAAATCGAGCGGGAAGGTGGTGAGCTTTTAAACTAGACAGTTGCTTTTATTTTATATCTGCATCAAATTCTTTTCATTCACACTTTGGATGATTCATTTCAGCAGTCTCGTCAACCTGAGCACCAGAACAAGGCAGTGAAGATGTCTCCACCACCGAAGGACGAAGATGATAGTGGGGAGGAAGAGGAAGAAGATGATGAGCAGGGTGCCACTTGTGGGGCATGCGGGGATAACTATGGCACTGATGAATTCTGGATTTGCTGTGATGTGTGCGAGAAATGGTTCCATGGTAAATGTGTAAAGATTACACCTGCAAAGGCCGAGCATATTAAGCAGTACAAGTGCCCCAGTTGCAGTAGCAAGAGGGCTAGAGTTTAAAGTTAGATCTGAAGGTGGGAGTGCAACACTAATTAAACTTAGTGGACGAGGATTAGAACTTTTTTTTCATTACAGTTTGAAAGTAAAACAGATTACCTGTTTCTAGTTAATGAATTTTTAACCTTCTGGTTCCTGTTCTGTTTAATTTCTGTGGAATTGTGTTTTCAAATAGTTGCTGGCATTTATAAATATAAATGTTGATGCAGTTTTCCGGTTTGATTTAAATGCATATTGCTGAATATCTGCATCATTGACATCATTTTGAAAGAGTTGTGTTTACTTATTTGGCAGTCTACTTGTTAACTAAATCTCAGGAGGGAATGATTATGGAAGTTCATTTGGTGTTGCAGCAGCTATCAAAGTCAACCATAATTGAAGTCATAATACTCCATCTGGTTTTGGGAAAATGAATGTTCCTTGGAGAATGATGGTGGTATTCTTTGATCACCTCCTTTCCCCATCCATTGCCATAGTACTTCTCAAGCAGCCTTTCACCATACACTTAAAAGGATGATGCCAAGTTAAATATCAACCATATGAATATAATAAGCTGACAAATGAAGTATAAACAATTTATTTCATAAGTAATAGTGATAATTTTAAGATACCCTAAAACAAAAGTGTGAGGCAATACAAAAGGTACAGAAACACTTCAACCAGAGATTTAAAGGGCTATATAGTATGTTCTTCACTCAAAATGTCACCTTATAAAAGTACTTCTCCTAATCACACATGTAACTTGCATAAATAGAGACAATACCATTACCAAACCTTTAGCAAAGTACTCAAAAACATANGACAGTGAAGATGTCTCCACCACCGAAGGACGAAGATGATAGTGGGGAGGAAGAGGAAGAAGATGATGAGCAGGGTGCCACTTGTGGGGCATGCGGGGATAACTATGGCACTGATGAATTCTGGATTTGCTGTGATGTGTGCGAGAAATGGTTCCATGGTAAATGTGTAAAGATTACACCTGCAAAGGCCGAGCATATTAAGCAGTACAAGTGCCCCAGTTGCAGTAGCAAGAGGGCTAGAGTTTAAAGTTAGATCTGAAGGTGGGAGTGCAACACTAATTAAACTTAGTGGACGAGGATTAGAACTTTTTTTTCATTACAGTTTGAAAGTAAAACAGATTACCTGTTTCTAGTTAATGAATTTTTAACCTTCTGGTTCCTGTTCTGTTTAATTTCTGTGGAATTGTGTTTTCAAATAGTTGCTGGCATTTATAAATATAAATGTTGATGCAGTTTTCCGGTTTGATTTAAATGCATATTGCTGAATATCTGCATCATTGACATCATTTTGAAAGAGTTGTGTTTACTTATTTGGCAGTCTACTTGTTAACTAAATCTCAGGAGGGAATGATTATGGAAGTTCATTTGGTGTTGCAGCAGCTATCAAAGTCAACCATAATTGAAGTCATAATACTCCATCTGGTTTTGGGAAAATGAATGTTCCTTGGAGAATGATGGTGGTATTCTTTGATCACCTCCTTTCCCCATCCATTGCCATAGTACTTCTCAAGCAGCCTTTCACCATACACTTAAAAGGATGATGCCAAGTTAAATATCAACCATATGAATATAATAAGCTGACAAATGAAGTATAAACAATTTATTTCATAAGTAATAGTGATAATTTTAAGATACCCTAAAACAAAAGTGTGAGGCAATACAAAAGGTACAGAAACACTTCAACCAGAGATTTAAAGGGCTATATAGTATGTTCTTCACTCAAAATGTCACCTTATAAAAGTACTTCTCCTAATCACACATGTAACTTGCATAAATAGAGACAATACCATTACCAAACCTTTAGCAAAGTACTCAAAAACATAGCCTCAATAATGAAGTTAAAAAATGGTTATGGTCTATTATTTATCTATGACAACAAAATAGAACATGGCAAATGGCGGCTAAGTGAAGCTAATAGCATCTATGCTTCACTGTTAAAGAATGTTTGCCTAACCTTATCAACCATTACCAATTTTTGATTTATTCTCTGGTGATCTTCAAAGTGGATAGAATTTTAGAAGTGCCAGTCTCCTCCATCATCTGGCCATTTGCAATCAGCTAGCCTGATGATACACAATATGGACTTGGAAGATGATGCTATGCATTCAATGGTCCAGGTTGGATGACAAGAATGAAGAAGAGATGGTTCAGGGCATGGGCAAATTATAGTTCTACTTCACAAGCAGCCTGTGAGCACTTTCTCACTTGAAGTCTCATGCCAGAGTGGCCATTTTCTTGACCATCTAATGATCTTCTGCATCCACTGTCTCAGCAGCATTCCATAACTAAGCAAATGGTTTTATAATGGTCAGTTGATCACAGAACACAGGCCATCCATTGCAAGATTAAGGCGAATTTTTTTTCTTCCATTACCAATAGTCCTTGCAAGAGCAAAACCCATCACTGAAACAGTGAAATCTATTGTTATCTCTCACAATGATCTCCCTGCCCTCCAACTTAGAAATCATCTTTATAGAAGTGTGGCAATCCCAACACACCCTAAGGTTCTTCACCACCCTAATCACTGCCCCTAGTTCACTGACAAGAAGGGCAAAACAAATGGCCAGTTTCTCACTATGTGTTCCAACCATCTCTTCCTTCTCTTCGTCTTCAACATCTCTTAGCACACAGCTCTTGTCAGCTTCATACCCAAGCTTTCTCATCTTGCTACCCAATTCTGCCAATAGCCTATAGATATCTTCTGATCTTTCATGTGATCTGTCGCCAACTATGAACTTGTGCATTTTACCTTTATATTCCACCAAACTCCATGCAGTTGTCTTCTTCACTCCCACTTTTCTCATTGATTCTCTAATTCTATCGACATCTTCCCACCTCCCTGCCAGAGCATATATATTGGAAAGCAAAATATAATTTCCTGAATTATTTGGTTCAAGGTCAAATAACTTATTTGCAGCAAGCTCCCCAAGTTCAACTCTTTTGTGAATTCGACTAGCATTCAGAAGTGAGCCATAAACTCCTGCATGTGGCTTCATTGGCATGCTATCAATCAATCTTTTAGCTTCATCTAGTTGGCCTACTCGACCTAGCAAATCAACCATGCATGCATAGTGATCCACAGTTGGATTTTTGATTGAGTTAAAAACCTTCCATCCTTCATCTAATAATCCTGCATGACTACAGGCTGTCAAAACACCAATATATGTCACACGGTCCAGCTCAATACCTTCTTCTATCATCTTTGACATTTGTTCAATGGCTTCCTTTCCATGGCCATGAGCTGCGAACCCCGCTATCAAAGTATTGTAGGAAACCACATCTCTTGTACTCATTTCTTGAAAAATTCTCTCAGAGTCCTTTATGCTTCCACATTTTGAGTACATGAAAATCAAAGAATTATATCCTGAAACGCTCAGGTTGATATGGTTCTTGGTGAGAAAATTAACTGCCCAATTACCCAATTCTAAAGCCCCAAGATGCCCACAAGCCGAGATAACACTCACCATGGTGACTTCATCTGGTTTTGCTTCTTTAGTCTTAGTCATTTCTTTAAAAAGGTTAATTGCCATAGCGGACTGCCCGTTCTGAGCATATCCAGCAATCATTGAGTTCCATGATACCACATTCCTTTGCAGCATCTTATCGAAGAGCTGTCTAGCTGAACTCAAATCACCTACCCTCATGTACGCAGAAATCATGGCATTCCAAGTAAAGACATTCCTATATATCCCCAAATCATCAAAGATTCTTTGTGCAGTCTCAAGACTCCCACACTTTGCATACATATCAAGCAATGCAGTCTTCAAAAAACAATTCAAACGGATCTGCCTCTGGTCAAGCATTTTCACCAGTGAATCTGCAAGGTAAGGATCACCGCGAGATGAGCATGATGAAATGACTGTAACCCATGTAGTTTCATCCGGCTTAACCCCAGCAGTGACCATATCACCAAACAACCTCAACGCCTCTTCTGTAAACCCATTTTGAGCATACCCTGAAAGCATTGCATTCCAAGAAACCACGTTTTTCTCCAGCATTTCATCAAAATACCTCCTTGCACTGACCAAATCCTTCATCTTAACATACCCCGAAACCATAGCCGTCCAAGTCACAACATTCCTCTCACTCATCATACTAAACAACCTACACACTTCACCCTCCAAACCCCACTTCCAATACCCAGAAATCATCGAATTCCAATCCGCAACACTTCTCTCAGTCATTTCATCAAACACTTTTCTGCACAGCTCAATTGGCCCATACTTCCCATAACAATCCATAATCACATTGCGTATATATCGATCCTCACCATAACCCAGTTTCAAAACAAGGGCATGGAACAGAAAACCCTTATCACCAAACGATTTGATCACAACTGGGTACACAAAAGCATCAGGCTTTATATTGTGAGACAACATGCTTTGAAAGAGGGACAAAACCTCATCATGGGCACCCATTTGGGAGTAGTACTTGAGCATACAAGTGAAGAGGTAGACATTGGGGTTTGGTGTGAAATTGAAGATAGGGCGGGCGTAGGAGGGTGGCGCGTTGAGGCGCGTACAGTGGGTAAGGAGGAGCGAGGCATAGTAGCTTTGGTGGTGGAGAGAAATTTGAACAAGGTGGGCATGAAGCTGTTTGAGTTGGTTAAGGTTAGTTAATTTGGTTGCTAGAGTACCCAAATGTGGCATGCTTAGTCAGTGTTAGTACTATTTTGTTTGCTTAGTTCACATTTTAAGGAAGTGAAAGAGATTTTGTCCTAATCCCCTTTATATTCATCACAATATATAAAAATTAGAAAAGTACTGGGTGAAATAAGCGTATGTATATTTGTTCAATGATATGGAGGCATGCTGGTTATGGTCTATTATTTATCTATGACAACAAAATAGAACATGGCAAAATGGCGGCTAAGTGAAGCTAATAGCATCTATGCTTCACTGTTAAAGAATGTTTGCCTAACCTTATCAACCATTACCAATTTTTGATTTATTCTCTGGTGGTCTTCAAAGTGGATAGAATTTTAGAAGTGCCAGTCTCCTCCATCATCTGGCCATTTGCAATCAGCTAGCCTGATGACACACAATATGGACTTGGAAGATGATGCTATGCATTCAATGGTCCAGGTTGGATGACAAGAATGAAGAAGAGATGGTTCAGTGCATGGGCAAATTATAGTTCTACTTCACAAGCAGCCTGTGAGCACTTTCTCACTTGAAGTCTCATGCCAGAGTGGCCATTTTCTTGACCATCTAATGATCTTCTGCATCCACTGTCTCAGCAGCATTCCATAACTAAGCAAATGGTTTTATAATGGTCAGTTGATCACAGAACACAGGCCATCCATTGCAAGATTAAGGCGAATTTTTTTTCTTCCATTACCAATAGTCCTTGCAAGAGCAAAACCCATCACTGAAACAGTGAAATCTATTGTTATCTCTCACAATGATCTCCCTGCCCTCCAACTTAGAAATCATCTTTATAGAAGTGTGGCAATCCCAACACACCCTAAGGTTCTTCACCACCCTAATCACTGCCCCTAGTTCACTGACAAGAAGGGCAAAACAAATGGCCAGTTTCTCACTATGTGTTCCAACCATCTCTTCCTTCTCTTCGTCTTCAACATCTCTTAGCACACAGCTCTTGTCAGCTTCATACCCAAGCTTTCTCATCTTGCTACCCAATTCTGCCAATAGCCTATAGATATCTTCTGATCTTTCATGTGATCTGTCGCCAACTATGAACTTGTGCATTTTACCTTTATATTCCACCAAACTCCATGCAGTTGTCTTCTTCACTCCCACTTTTCTCATTGATTCTCTAATTCTATCGACATCTTCCCACCTCCCTGCCAGAGCATATATATTGGAAAGCAAAATATAATTTCCTGAATTATTTGGTTCAAGGTCAAATAACTTATTTGCAGCAAGCTCCCCAAGTTCAACTCTTTTGTGAATTCGACTAGCATTCAGAAGTGAGCCATAAACTCCTGCATGTGGCTTCATTGGCATGCTATCAATCAATCTTTTAGCTTCATCTAGTTGGCCTACTCGACCTAGCAAATCAACCATGCATGCATAGTGATCCACAGTTGGATTTTTGATTGAGTTAAAAACCTTCCATCCTTCATCTAATAATCCTGCATGACTACAGGCTGTCAAAACACCAATATATGTCACACGGTCCAGCTCAATACCTTCTTCTATCATCTTTGACATTTGTTCAATGGCTTCCTTTCCATGGCCATGAGCTGCGAACCCCGCTATCAAAGTATTGTAGGAAACCACATCTCTTGTACTCATTTCTTGAAAAATTCTCTCAGAGTCCTTTATGCTTCCACATTTTGAGTACATGAAAATCAAAGAATTATATCCTGAAACGCTCAGGTTGATATGGTTCTTGGTGAGAAAATTAACTGCCCAATTACCCAATTCTAAAGCCCCAAGATGCCCACAAGCCGAGATAACACTCACCATAGTGACTTCATCTGGTTTTGCTTCTTTAGTCTTAGTCATTTCTTTAAAAAGGTTAATTGCCATAGCGGACTGCCCATTTTGAGCATATCCAGCAATCATTGAGTTCCATGATACCACATTCCTTTGCAGCATCTTATCGAAGAGCTCTCTAGCTGAACTCAAATCACCTACCCTCATGTACGCAGAAATCATGGCATTCCAAGTAACAACATTCCTATATATCCCCAAATCATCAAAGATTCTTTGTGCAGTCTCAAGACTCCCACACTTTGCATACATATCAAGCAATGCAGTCTTCAAAAAACAATTCAAACGGATCTGCCTCTGGTCAAGCATTTTCACCAGTGAATCTGCAAGGTAAGGATCACCGCGAGATGAGCATGATGAAATGACTGTAACCCATGTAGTTTCATCCGGCTTAACCCCAGCAGTGACCATATCACCAAACAACCTCAACGCCTCTTCTGTAAACCCATTTTGAGCATACCCTGAAAGCATTGCATTCCAAGAAACCACGTTTTTCTCCAGCATTTCATCAAAATACCTCCTTGCACTGACCAAATCCTTCATCTTAACATACCCCGAAACCATAGCCGTCCAAGTCACAACATTCCTCTCACTCATCATACTAAACAACCTACACACTTCACCCTCCAAACCCCACTTCCAATACCCAGAAATCATCGAATTCCAATCCGCAACACTTCTCTCAGTCATTTCATCAAACACTTTTCTGCACAGCTCAATTGGCCCATACTTCCCATAACAATCCATAATCACATTGCGTATATATCGATCCTCACCATAACCCAGTTTCAAAACAAGGGCATGGAACAGAAAACCCTTATCACCAAACGATTTGATCACAACTGGGTACACAAAAGCATCAGGCTTTATATTGTGAGACAACATGCTTTGAAAGAGGGACAAAACCTCATCATGGGCACCCATTTGGGAGTAGTACTTGAGCATACAAGTGAAGAGGTAGACATTGGGGTTGGTGTGAAATTGAAGATAGGGCGGGGCGTAGGAGGGTGGCGCGTTGAGGCGCGTACAGTGGGTAAGGAGGAGCGAGGCATAGTAGCTTTGGTGGTGAGAGAAATTGAACAGGTGGGCATGAAGCTGTTTGAGTGGTTAAGGTTAGTTAATTTGGTTGCTAGAGGTACCCAAATGCGGCATGCTTGTCAGTGTTAGTACTATTTGTTTGCTTGTTACATTTAAGGAAGTGAAAGAGATTTTGTCCTAATCCCCTTTATATTCATCACAATATATAAAAATTAGAAAAGAATGGGTGAGTAAGCGTATGTATATTTGTTTTTATGATTAGAGGTATGCAAATGCATCCATTCCACAAATTTTTCCCCCAAAAAAACGTATACATAGATTCACTTTAATAAGAGAATTGAAAAAATCATCAATAAGATTGATACATATATCTCCGTCCATAACTTGACGTATATTATTAAAACAAGTACATATATATATTACAATGTCATTTACATTTTTTTTTTTAAATATGAATATTTCTAGGAGAGAATATTGTATGCTTATTAATATAATTCTTTTTATGTTTAAAAAATGAGAAATAAAATTTGAAATCCAAATATATAACCTAAAATAAGGTGCAATTAAAATGTAGGTGGTACATTTAGTAGTTCTCTCAATAGGGCCAAGAAGGCTTTAGGTTCTGTGGGGACAATGGAGCCCTTTTAGAGCCCCAAATTGGGTCAATGGGAAAGCTCTTAAAAGAATTCAACTAGACATCTACTATTGAAAGTACAAAGCATTCATGTGGTTTATAATAAGGTATTATGATCAACCCTCTTTGACTCTCCTCAATCTATTGCTAAATTTATGTAAAAGATTAAAACACCATCAACCCAAAAAGTCATTCCAAAACATATAATCATTAGCACAAAAAAGAAAAAGAAATGTGAGATAAATGTTTAATGCACCACCTATTATATGGTAAATTAAAATTTATCATGTTTTTCGTCGTTAATTTTGATATACCATTTTCTCATAAGATGATTAATATACCAAAAGTGAAACATCATACTGTGATTGACCTAATAGATTAATTAATTTTCTTTCTAAAAATTGTTGGAACCTCATTACAACACAAAAATAACAAAAATATGCATGTGATCATATAGTAATGAAATGAATTGTGGGTTCAAGCAAGTATCATTCATTTGGATACTCTTTAAATAAGCTTTTTGTAGACATATTAATTAATTAACAAAACATGAAATGTTGGATTAAAGCTAACAAGAAGATGAAGACAAGTCCTCAAATATGTTTGTGTTATGTATACTTGTTGCACTACAACTTTTATTAGAAAATTGAGGATGGAACCAATATTGCAAATGGGAAGTTGCATGGCTTGTCTAAAATTTGCTAATAAGTTGGGGGTAGAATGGGCTCAAGAAGACCTAATAAACTAACGTATATAAGCTTCCAAAATGCCTAAATGCCTATCATAGCCACCCTAAGCATTAGTTGAAGAGTAAATTAATATGTGGACTCAAGGTCATGTGCAGATATTTTTAGGTTTACTCTTAGAGGTTTAGGGTTTCGACTTTCGACTGATATCTTGATCCGAGTAATTACAAGTTTGTGAATGATAGTTATCTTTGTTTTTATTGTTTATTTTAACTCTATTCCTTTATTTTTTGTTTTAACTTATTTGGTAATGATCAATCTTGAGCCTTAATAAAGAAATATAATATTATCATGTCCTTGTTTTTAACTCAACAATCTTTAAAAAACGACTACTAAAATATTAAGTAACGTGACTCATTCTCTTATAACATTAAAATATGATTTTCAAGATTCTCAATTTTGTTCGTAGCAAAAATATTGTCATAATTGTCAATACCCTTTAATCTCTATTGTTAACACTTAATTTTATTGGTTGATTGAGTTGTAATGTTGTCGTGCTAAATAGTAGCAATGCACAACTTCTATTTCAAATTATTAAAAAAATCTTCAAGTAATGGCAAGCTTAAGCTCAAGTTGTGAATCAATGAAATATTCAATTCAAATGGATAATGACCCAAAGAATCAAAGATTGCATGTGATAAGCATTTGCTTGTAGATGGCAAAGCATGTTCATCTAATTAAACTAAGAGAAAGAGATCTGATTTGGGTATATCTTATAAGGTTTGTTTATGAAAAATGATTAAAAATTAATCAAATTAATTCACAAAGACATGATAGAGAGAGAGATAGAGGTGAGCGGTTCTGCCAGTACCTGCATTTTTCGAGGAGAATCGAACTAGAACCGCAGTGCAGGTTTCCAAACAAATGTCGGTCAAAACACATAGTGCATGTCTTAAATTCAAGGAACTGGAACCTAAAATGCAGTTCCAGTTCCTTTCCGATTAACCACAAAAAATCAATTACCCCCCTATTAGTTAAAAAAAACAAAAATACAACTTAAGTTTATAAAACACCCCTAACAAATTTTGATTACTCATTCATTTGTGTCCAATGTAACTCATAAATCCCTAATTTCTAGGTAACACTTGATTCAATCAATTCATCACAATTCACATAAAATTCCTCAATCAAAACCAAAACACAAACAATTAATTAAACAATCATATTATAAATCTATAATTTAATATTATAATTAATTAAATTTCTAATATTTAATTAAGTATTGTACTAATGTTTATAATTGAATATTATAAATAATTAAGTAATCATTAACTATGTATGTTATAATTAATTAAGATTATAAATAATGTAATGTTATTATCAATTAAGTAATTATTTAATATAATGTAAGTTTTTATTATTATTTAATTTTTCATTTTAATTAAGTATTCATACTATAAATTTATGATGTAATGCTATAATTAATTAATTTTCTAATCATTAATTAGGTATTGTGCTAATGTAATAAATTACTAATGTTTATAATTAATGTCATAATTAATTAAGGTAATCATTTCATTATTTAATGTTATAATTAATTATGTGATCATACTATAATGTAATGTTATAATGAATTAGGTAATCATACTATAAATCTTTAATATAATATTATAATTAATTAAATTTTTTATCGTTTAATTAAGTATTGTACTAATGTTTATAATAGAATGTTATAATTAATTAAGTAATCATTTAATTAAGTAACCATTTGTTTATAACGTAATGTTATAATTAATTAAGTAATCATACTATAAATCTATAATGTAATGTTATAATTAATTAAATTTCTAATCATTTAATTAAATAATGTACTAATGTAGTAAATTACTAATGTTTATAACGTAATGTTATAATTAATTAAGTAATCATACTATAAATCTATAATGTAATGTTATAATTAATTAAATTTCTAATTATTTAATTAAGTAGTATACTAAATTACTAATGTAATGTTATAAACTTATAATTAATTAAATAATTATTTAACTATAATTTAATGTTATAATTGATTAAGTAATCATTTAACTAGCAATGTATTAATGTTTATTAATTTATTTTATATAATTAATTAATTACTAATTTATTACATCTATACTTAGAACTTGATAATTAAAGTAAATAACTAAATATTATATTATTATTCAATCAAATATACTATTATATTAAAAAATAATTCTTTTAATAATGTTAAAATATTTTTAATTTGTTTTAATTCTAATTATACACTTAATTAATCAAAACTTTAATATTAATATATTATAATTTATTAAAGTTTTTATATGGTATAGTTTATAAGTAATAAGTATAATTGTATATTTATTTACTTAGGTTATTGTAAAAATTTAACTTTTTCCATTTTAATTTTTTATATGTAAAATTACAATAGACCCCCTATTCTTCACATATATTTATTTCAATCCAGGTTCCAAAACAGGGTACCCGGCTACCCACTGCAGGTTCCAAGCAGGGTACCCGCTGCAGGTTCTTTTTTTTTTTTAGATTCTGGTTCTGATTCCTTCACATGTAGGAATCAGAACCGGAACCAGAACCGCATAGTGTCGGTTCCGAAAAAATGGAACTGGAACCTACCCGCGCAGTGTCGGTTCTGTGTAGGTTCCAGTTTCAATTCTACCCGTTACCCGTGTTCACCCCTAGAGAGAGACCCTTTGTTGCCCTCCTCATCACATGCTTTGTAGTTGTTGTAGATAATCATACAAAATCTTACAGATATTACATGATTAAGTGTATAAATCTATAATAGGATATTAGGATTGTAATAAATATATATTAAGAACAAATTTGTAAAATAGGAAGTTAGATTCTTCATTTCCTAGATTAGATTATTTGTTTCCTAGATTAGTTTTTTATTTTCCTATATACTGATGTATAATTTATCAATAATAATAATAACAATCAGTTCTCTGTTTTTCACATGGTATCAGAGCAATTCTAGGTTGTTTCTCAATTTCGTTTTCTTTTTCTTTGCTCAAGTGAGCATTATTTATGAGTCACCTTGGAGAATGGCCTTTTTTTCCTCACCACCTGCCTAGGAAGAAGCCCCTCTTGTCGATCGACCATTCCTTGAAGTCCCGTCACCAGAGGAGCAGCACGTGAGTCTCACACGCCACCTTTTTCATCTGCGGCAGTCTTCACGCGCTGGAGCGTTGGGGTGCGTGTGACAAAGGACAGTGCTCCGATCACCCTTCCTAGCTTCGTCTTGATATTTTCGGCAAGTCTGTGTGATCAATTCCTCAGTATCTCAGCCAGGTCAGATCAGTTTTGTTGATTTCTGTTGGTATCAAATTTTGTTCTTTGAAGAGTTTTGTTGGCTATTTGTGTTGAGGTCGGTTTGTTGACTTTCGTCTGTAAGTTGTGTTGGCTATTTGTGTTGAGATCAATTTTTTCGTCTTCTTACCATGGCTGATAAGCCTATAACTAATATGGTTCTTGTAATGTCAAAAATTATGGAACATAAGCTTAATGGGTCTGATAACTATTTTGATTGAAGTAAGACAATTCGTCTCTACCTGTGAAGCATTGGT